AAAGCTGCGGGGCTGAAATTTCGAGAACTTAATCTGCACGCACGTACCGCCCCCAATCCCCAAAATGGGCGCCAAAACCCGCGTGGTAACCGCGCACGGGACCCCAAAATTTTTCCCGCGCAAATTCATAACTCGGGGATTTGAGAAGCTAGGAGGCTGAAATCTTGGGGTAATGTTCCCCGCCCAAGTGGGTATTAGTGGCTCAAATCCAGCTTCCGGGTAAGCGTGGTAACCGCGCACGGCCCCCAAAATTTTTCCCGCGCAAATTCATAACTCGGGGTTCTTATACGCTAGAAAACTGAAATTTTAGAGGAATGTTCCCTGTCCGTGCGGCTATTAGTGGGCTCAAGTCCAACACCCGGGTAAGCGTGGTACCCACGTACGGACTCCCCAAAATTTTCCCGCGCAAATTCATAACTCGGGGTTCTTATATGCTAGAAACTGAAATTTTAGGGTAATGTTCTCCGTCCAAGCAGGTGTTAATGAGCTCAAATCCAGCCCCCGGTTAAGCGTGGTACCCGCGTACAGTCCCACCAAAATTTTTCCCGCGTAGGTTGATAACTCGGGGTTTTGAGAAGTTAGACAGCTGTAAATTACCCAAAATTTTTCCCGCGTAAATTCATAACTTGGGGTTCTGAGTTGCTAGAAAGCTGAAACCTTAGGGGGTGTTCCCTGTCCAAGTGGGTATTAACGAGTTCAAACCCTGCCCGCGGGTAAGCGTGGTACCTGCGTACAGGCCCATGAAGGTTTCTTCCGGGTAAGTTACTTAGTCGAGAACATGGGAAGCTAGAAGACTGGAATTTTGAGGGGATGTTTCTTGACAGTTCTGGCGGCCAATCTGAAATTCTTTCAACTAGAAGCACCTGCCGAAAAAACCGATGCCGGTAGCGACAAAAACTGCGGGGAACTCTGCAAAGAACGCATCTTCGCACGGGCAGCCCGTGGGTTGGCCAATTATTTTATTTCATTTGACTTCACTGAGGTATTACTGTAACACTTGCAGGCTGACCATTAGGTGTTGCAGAATTGATCAAAGCAACCGGAAAAACTGCACGGGTAAATATGTTATGAATTATCAGCTAATCGCAGTCAAACGAGAGGCGAAGGCACTCGGGAAATAGTCCGAGTGGTAGCAAATGCCAATAGCAATCGCCCGTCAGCAAAGCTGTCGATATCTTTTTACAAGCAAGTTGGTGGCGAGTTTAACTCCTTGGTAAATC